GCCCGCCCGGGCTTAGGGAGCGGTGCAATAAAAGAGCACGTGGTCACCGTGAGGGAGGAGGGCCCAGCTCGCCGGCCAGCGGGTTTGTGGCCGCTGTCTTCACACGACACTGCACAACGGCTCCAGTGCCAGCAAGCACACGCCACTGCACGGCTCCTTGTGGCCGAGGGCCTTTGTCCTCGCGGGTGTCCCACAGTCCGTGTCACCATCTCCTCTGGCAGAGTGCAGGGTCAGGCCCCCCGGGCTGGACCCAGCTCTGCCAGCTGCTGTGTGGCAGGGACAGGCTTGCTGGCTGCCTCGAGCCTCGGTGTCTACATCTCTGAGAGGGCTGTTGCGTGGAGTCACCGAGGCGGCATGGGTGCGTGGTGGGCACAGGGTCTGGCATGAGCCAGGTGCCTGACAGGTGAGGGCGTCTGTCCTGCTCACCGCAGTGAAGGCCCCCAGCCTGGTTATCTTGCAGGTATTACTAAACCTCAGCTGGAGATTCAGCACCGGGGCTGGACCAAGGCCTTCATGTGCCACTCCCTCCACTGGGGCCCATGGGAGTGAAGTGGCCTTTTGCGATGGTCACCTTCCCTTGGCTCAGGGTTTCTGCTCGTGAGCTGGGCAGGCCATCCCAGGGTGTGCTGACTGCTGGCTGGTGGGGCAGTGGGGCCCGGGGTGGAGGAGGGGGAGGCAAGCCAGTCTGTGGCCTGCAATGCTCCGGGACAGGCCCACGCCTGCTGACTGCTCTGGGGGACAGCTGCCCAGGGACAGACGTGAGAGTGAGGACATAGGCCAGACGGCTCAGACCAGGAGGGCCACGGGGAACCTCCAGGTGGCACTGGGGCCAGAGGAAAGAGAGGTGGCGGGGGTCAGAGAAACAGCGTTAGAGGCCTCGCCGAGTAACTGGGGTTTACTGCAGGGCAATGGGGAACCACAGGGGGCTTTTTCTCCAGGGAACAGCAGGTACTGACTGACGTCTTCAAAGGAGTGGGTTACCACAGACGGGCAGGAACTAGTCAGAGAAAGCGGGTCGCTCCCCAGAGGCCGATGACACAGCAAGGACCAGGCTCAGCCGGACGTGGGGTGTGGACACAGAAGCCTCACGCAGGCCAATGCCAAGCTCCCCGCGGTCTCCGCTGCCCAGCCCCACCAGCCTGCACAGTGACAAAGCTGCCGGCAGGTGCCCCCCTTAGCACCTGGTCTGTTTCCCACCCCGCTGCTCTTTAAACACCTGCAGGCCCTGTAACTACATCGCATCCCCTTTATGCCGAACCTTCTCCCGGCAGTGTTTCCTAACTTCGGGGGAAGCCCTTTATCCAGACTCTAACAACGCCCCTGTCACACAGGGAAGCCAGCGGGAGGGGCCCGGGATCCCTGCTCAGTGGTTCTAGGGGACTGGGCTCAGCTGTCTGTGGCATGCTACACCCCAGGTCATGCTACACCCCGGTGTGCACCCCAGGGCTTTGGGGAGCAGGCAGGGCATGGGGCTGATAAGGAGAGGCAGGCACTTATCGGTCCACCCAGAGGCAGGGGGGTATCTGGAGGGCCAGGTGCACCCACGCCATGCCCAGTGCAACGCCAGCCTCAGGCAGCTGGTGGCTGCCCTATTCCTGCTCTAACT